TGGTTTGCAGAGATTGGAGTTCTAGTCCCTTCTCGGAAAGAAGGGCAGACGCTACTTCGTCTGGCGATACTCGTGCAGGCATCGAATCTGCTGGTTGCCGTAGACGGGCGTATAGAAGCGGCAGTAGGAAGATTGAGACGCCAGGGACGAAGAAGCAGGCGAAAATCAGCTGCGACCGTGTGATCATCCGTACAGCGAAAAGATGAAGGTGGGAAGTATGCAGTCTAGGTGCCTAGTCAAGGGGATTGGCGTTGGTGACCACCAAGGCATGCTGTTGTTGCAAAAGTACGCCGAGGGGTTGAATGACGCGACGCGTCAAGCTAGTCATGGGTGGCTGACATAAGCGAGTATCCTGAATCGAGCTCTCCGCCCAAACACCTGGGCTTGTCCCACGCCTTATCAAAGTCGATACTGCCCTTCACACTTCCGTTCATTGCAATTTTCAGAATCTCCACGCCACTATACAACGACTACGGGAATCTGTCACGACACCGCTGGACATGAACAACGGAAAGTACCGAGTTGACGAGACGCCAGATACACACAATATAGGCCATTCGGATCGACCAAACTTCATCCATTGGTATCTACTACGGAAAAGCGAACAAGGGTTGATAAAGCTCTAGTAGCATCTACAACAAGTACTGGAAGTAGATGTTCTCCTTGTCTGTCATGTCTTGCAGACCGTTCTCTCCGTGGACCTCAGCACCTGCCTCATGGAAATGGCCGCTCATCGAGTAATCGATGGGGTTCCTAGGAAGACCGGCCGCCTCACGCTGATCGCACTTCTTCTTCTGCATCCAGGTGATAAGGACGACTTGAGCGACAACTACTCCCCAGAGGATGCACCAGATTATCAAGATGCCCTTGAGGGCATTGACCTAGGAACGAAATGTTAGCGATGGACTCTCGGCTGAGCATACGACAGGGATAAGATGCTTACGTATTGCGGTTGGAACTTCGAATCGAAGATGTAAGGTGTGATGATGTTGCCTACAGAGTTGCCGGCGTTGAAAGAGGTGTAGTAGATCGCCTTCTTGGTTTGTCCGGCACAGTTGGAGCCCATCCAAGAGATGAGCAGAGGGTTAATGGCGTACACGAAGGCAATCAGATAATAACCTGCGAGCAGACCACCCTTGTTATCCGGAGTCTTCGGAAGCGCAACCAAAAGAGCAACACCAACAATGACGATGGTAACCAAGCCGAGGAAGAATGGCGACTTGCGCTTGAAACGGTATGCGAGCCACGACGCACCAAGAATGGATACGACCTGAAGCGCTCCGAAAGGCATGTTCAGCAAGACAGCTTCGTCTGAGCTGAATCCAGCCAGGTTCTTCAGGATGATGGAGCCGAAGACCGAAGAGACCGACGCACCAGCATTGACAGCGATGACCATGATCATGTACAGCCAGTATTTGGGTTCACTCAAGGCCTCGGCGACATGCGACCAGTTGAACTTGTGCGAGACGATACCCTGTTGATTCGCCTTCACTCGGTCAACAGCCTTCAAGCGATCCTCCGGTGTCAGGAATCGAGCCTCGCCAGGGCTATCGTGGGCCCACCAGTAGGTGATAAGACCAATTACGATAGTCAAGAGCCCGAAGAAGAGGTACACCATCTGGTAGCGGTACAGCGAGGACGAGTTTATCTGAGCGAAGCCGTAAACGATGGGTGAACTGAGAACGGTGCTAAGACCATAGCAGCTGTACCAGCAAGCCACGCGGAATGGCTGCTCAGAACGCCTGTAAAAGGCAATGGTGATCATCGAGAACAAGGGAACGACCATAGCCTCAAAGGCACCGAGGAAGAATCGCGATGCGAGCAGCCCGGCGTAATTCCTGGAACCACCGAGGCCACCGGCAACAGAGATACCCCAGCATGTGATGATGACGGGAAGAACGTGGCGGTATCGCAGCTTGACGAGGATCCACGCGGCCAAAGGCTGCACACCGAGTTGCGCATAGTATCCGATGTTGCCGATGTTTGAGTAGTCGTTGCCCTTGAGATGGGCATCCTCCTTCAGACCATAGACGGCCGTCAACCCGATGATTCCCTTGTCGGCGGATTGCAGGAAGTACACCATGCAAAGGAGCGACAACATCCAAATGTCCGTCTTGCGTAGAATGCGTTTGCTGTCTGCCTCGGTGCAGATGTGAGCCTCGCTTAGGCCAGCCTCTTTGCCCTCCTCATACGCCACGGCGTGGTCAATCGAAGTGTCGGACACATGCTCCATGCCGATAGCGGTCGGCTTCTCGTCCGCGGAAGCCATGTCGCGAGGTCAATGGGTGAAAAGATGGAGAAAAGAAGAGATCTGGGGATGTGCTACAGTCTGGGGTACAAGTCTGGGGTAGACGTTTATATGCCTTCGTTAACGCGACGCGAACGACACCAGCGGGACCCGGCCCAACGGCGCAACGGACTAGAATTATCCCTCCAACAGCTTTGCGCGCACTAGAAGGATGCACCGATGCATCCGTGCCTCTGTGAGCTGTGCTGATGCGAGCTTGTTGTAGCCAATAGCCCTGTCAGGAGGACTTGATAGCAACCGGCTAAATCGATGGGAGGGAAGTGCTCGTGATGCGCCCATCGACCGCGGGAAGTACGAGCTTATGTCTGGATCAACGGCTCGGACTCTGACAGACCGAGAAGGTTTTGAGCGTGTTTGATGGAGTGAGTAAGGCTCACGGTGCTTTAAGGGTTGACAGGTTTACCCGAGTGGTGTTGGGTTGATAGTCGAAGTCTATGGGTATAGTACGCACCGCTCCATCGTACATCAACGAGACTAACCACCTGCCGATCTAGCCATGATCCCGGAAGCGTGGTGGGCGATGAGACGGTCAGAGCTTAGTGCGTGCCCTGATGCTGTCGACACCACGAGTTTGACTAGGGATTACCCAATAGACACTGCGTCCCTTCCCTGGCATCATCGACTGCATCTACGCTCGACGACCTCTGATGTTCGAGACAAGACTCTGTGCAGTGAACAAGACTTTCTTGACCAGACGACAAGCTTTTGGCCAAGAATGACCCAGGTGGCAATCTTGGAGATTCTGGAAACGCTACGGCTAGAGTGGTGATTAGCCGCCTTACGTCATCCACCAATAATTCCACCAACAATCAATCTATGTTAGCGCCACATGGCTATCTCAGCTCTACTCATACAAACATCTTTAAGAGCAATAACATCGTGGAGCACGCTACACCAGCACAACATCGATGCAATGTCGTGATGTTGGATGATCGAGTCGGTAGCCGGTAGTCAGGGCGGAGGAGCCACGACCCCACAAAATGCCTCGGTGCCCGAGCGGCTCCACCAGCATTCCAAGAAATGCGGGGTAAACGTCATAACAGCTCGAGACATCGTTGATATTCTGGGGAAACCTTGAAGGAAGAACAGTTCATACATTGCAAAACCCGCACCTGCCATATCAAACACCGACAAAGCCCGATCGCAGCTGCCTCACCAACATGGCCGACCCGAAGACCTCCACTGCGAGTCAGCGCTTGACGCAGATCAAAGATTTTCTCACCATGAATAAGACGGCAACAACCATACCATGGGATCCAGATAGTACTAAATTTCCGACAAGGAAGGAATTACCTCAGATTCCCGGGGCGCCTCCGGAGGCTGCTTGGGTTTGGGGTGACAGCGACTACGTATGTTCGACCGAAGTCTAATCTAGTTGCGGGCCGAACTGATCAGATGTAGATCGGCCGCCTCAATCTCCTAACGCCTACACGTGTCGCAGCGGCTGCGAGGGAGATACGAACGGGTGAGATCGTACCTGTTAAGTCCGTGTTTTCATGATCCTTCTAATATGTCGTTGCTGACCGTGAGGTAGCCTGCCTCTCAACGTGCCGAATATTCCCGCGTTCGGTCGCGAGGTTTTTCAGCATGAGATTAAGACGCTGGCTGAAGGCATTGCCTACGACGATGTGTATCATATGAACACCCAGTCCGGCACGCAGTGGGACGGCTTCCGACATTTTGCTCATATTCCTAGTGGATCGTTCTACAATGGCGTATGTATCGAAACCCATCATAACGAACCTTTGCTGACATCCAGTACAGACCAAGGGAAGCGATGTCACAGGCCCAAACGCAAACCACAAGTGTTCCATCCACCACTGGGCCGAGCACGGCATCGCAGGTCGCGGTATCCTTCTAGACTACCGGGGCTACGCACACAAGAAGGGTATCAACTACGACCCTTATGACTACTACCCCATTTCGTGGCAGGACCTTTATCAGTGCGGCCAAGACCAGGGAATCGATATTCGCCCCGCGGCGCAAGGCGGTGACATTAAGCCTGGAGATATGCTGTTCATCCGCAGCGGATGGAAGGAGGCGTACGACAGCAAGAGTGATGAAGATCGAAGCAAGGCTGCTCTTCGACATGGTAGCGGAAAGGATGGTGAGGATGGTCAGCGGTATGCTGGTGTGAGCCAGGAAGAGAAGATTTTGGATTGGCTGCATGATAGCTACTTTGCATCTGTCGCTGGTGATGCACCTGCATTTGAGGCGTGGCCGACACATGAGAGTACGTTTCTTCGATCTTTCGTGTAACATTAGACTGACGTTGCTAGACTACCACCTCCACGAGTACATCCTCGCTCTTTGGGGTATGCCGCTCGGCGAGATGCTGGATCTCGAAAAGCTTGCGCAAACGTGCCGTGAGAAGAACAGATGGTTCTTCTTCTTCACCTCTGCGCCTGCTAACTGCCCAGGTACGCTGAATAGCCAGATCAATAAGCTCTTGCAATCGCTAACAGCATCATAGGCGGAGTAAGCTCACACGTCAACGGCACTGCCATCTTCTGAGCAATTCGAAAACGTCCAAAGACCGCGTTGAAACCAAGTACATTACTATAAACACCTAGCAATCGAACGAAGCCAATTTCACACATTCTGTCTTGTGTGACCACCACGCGCTCCCTAACCAAGCCTAGATCCTGCTCGCAAAATCCAAACATGCCAGCTACGCGGCATCAGCCTTATTTCAACTACCAGATCTCGACTCCGGAATTGATGCGGGGCATGTTCTGCGCTCTCTTCGGCGTGGACTCTCCCCTGAGACGGTCCGTGCGTTCGTGTCTGAGTTTCGCGGCATGGCAGGTGCGTCCAACGCGGTTGACTCACTTTCCCCTTCGATCTTCACAGCCTGCATCGCGCTGTCAAACAACGAGAACTGGGTTTTCTGATCCATCAAAAGTCGTTCATAGGCCTGGTCGCCTTCAACAGCGCTGTCATCGCGTCCGGTGCGTGCGTTTGGCGATGGCGGCGTCGGCGGTGGCTCGCGTGTTGGTGGCGCAAACTTCACCTCGTCAATGGGGCCGTCAGCTTGCGCCGTGCCGAATATGGACGACGACGAGGGTTTCGCATTGAGGCGATTCCTCGAATCGACATCCCCCAGCACATCAAGCCCATCTGATTGTTCCGCCTCTTGCACTTCTCTTGAGGGTTCAATCCGGTCATCGAAAGCAGGCCGAGAAGCATCACGTTCGTCGCGCAGCCTCCTGTGCTGCTCAAGTCTTCGCCCCTCCCAGTCAACCACCACAATGCCACATTCAAGAGAATCTGCAGCGACTTGCTCAGCTTCGCGACTCGCTTTCTCGCGACGGTACTTGTAGCGTTGTTGTCTTTTTGCTTCCTCGGGTGCAATTCTCTGCTTGTAGCACTCCTCGGATGTTGCATGCGTATGATACTGACAGTTTAGCAGCGGTGGCGACCTTTTGTCGCTTGAGAGGCGTCGCATAGCTGTCTCAAGCGCTGAACAGAGGAACGGCTGCGGTAAGTCTGACGGATCGACGTCACCAAACGCTTCAGCAGCAGAGTCGACCCATCGATCGACTAGAAAGTGGCCTAGAGCTTTCGGCATGTTGTGTCTTTTGTCGCCAAATATGTGCGAGATGGTATCGATGTCCGGTCGTACGCCTTTCACTATCTTCTCTTCGAGCAGGTCCATCACGCGGTCAACGAATTCGACATCGTCTATCACGTAGCCGTGTATCGCTGCGTTGATCAGCGGCCAGCATGCGATCCATGCATGCTGCGGATCGATGCTGTCGGAGTCGAAGTTGACGTCGCGATAGCGGGTGGGTATAACACCGGTGCGCCGCCATAGTTGGTGAAGTTCCGCTGCATCAGCGTCAATGTTACGACGTCTGAGCAGAGTGGTAGAATCGAATATGGTATCAATGTTGACAGCAGACAACCGGGCCAAGCGCCGTGTCAAGTACCAGGAATCCGGGTTCTGACGACCATATAGCACGCTGATCATTGACTGTCTCGGTTCATGTACAGCCGCATCTGGTATCGGTGGTGCCAAGTGTACCTGCACTCTGTTGGATGACTCTTCTTTCACAAGCTCTGACTGTACGAGTCCTTGCACGTCCGTATCAACATCATCGATGACTTCATCGTCACTCCACAGGCTCCCGCCCTCAAGCAGCGTATGATAATCGCTCTTCCTTGTGCGTGCCTCGATGCTCGGGCGACGGCGAAACTTGCGACCTGTATCGCTGATATGGTCGCTTCCATCGAAAATGCGGTCGACGTTCCTAGGTTTCTGGCTTCTTGGACTAACTGGGACACTGCTACGGGATTGCGACGATCGTGGTGTTCCGTGGTGTAAGTATCCTTCTGGACTGACTCCTGGAAAGCCTGTTGGTATGCGCGGAGGCATGCTGCCGCGCTCGAGCCTTCTTTGGATTTCGCGCTTTTCGGAAGAGGACATCTTATCGGTAAAGAGGTTTCCCATGTCGAAGAGTGGAGGATGTCACAATTTTTCAAGGGTGCGCAATAGTACGGTGATCAGTGTCCAACCAGGAAGCAGGGCTTTGTAAGTTGTCAGTATCGAAGGACCAGGTTTGGTCATATCGAGCAGCCTTGGTGTGAAGCGCGCGACTGTTTGTCATCGACAGTTTCGTCACGTTACTACCAGCAAACGAACGCTCACGTTGACCGCTGATGTCACCGCTCGCCTAGTCATGACTGGAAGTGATTCAGAATCGAAATACTAATACACAGTGGAGTTACGACAAGAAAGCCAAGTATGGAGTCCGCTCATTATGTCTCCATCGTCTTCGTGATATCATATCGCTCCGCATGTATACAACGCTCTCGCAGCGCGAGGCCACCATGTCTTTGGCTAGGCCATCTTTGAAGTCGATCACGTTCGTACTCGCAGGTCGAACAACACTATCAGAACATTGCCCTACAGAACACATCGAAGTTGACTACGCTATCGCCGAACGCTCACCGTACCTTCGCATCTACCTCCCACAGCGGGTACGCGATGACCGACCTCTGCTTCCGATCCAACTTGGAGATGTAGATCCGGCAGGCTTCAAGCTCTACGTCGAGTGGCTCACAACCGGCATTGTCAAGTTCTCTGATAAACGATCCCTCCAGCTGGACTCCTGTATCGACCTCATATACGCGCACATCGTCGGCTCCGCATTTTCGCAACCGAACTTCCAAGACTACATCATCGACAAGTTAGCTTTCGTTCTGGACCCGGCGCAAACGTTCGATCAAAAGATTCTTGAAATGCTGTATTTGGAAAAGCACGCGTCGACGTTACTGCGAAAGTTTGTTACGGACAAGATGTTCGCGTACGATAGGAGGATGCTGGGTATGCTACGGAATTCCGTGGAGGACATTGTGACGGGGAGTAGTGACGTGAAGGGATGCGAGTATCATATACATGATGAAGGATTGTGTTATAAACATGGAAGGGCGGGTGAGTTTGAAGAGATGGAGAGAGGGAACGACCTAGGAGGGAAGAAGTGGAGTATCGATGACGATCCGGAACTTAATGCCATGGCAGCGCAATATTTAGGCAAAGCAAAGACCCCTTCGAGAACGGACAAGTCATCAAAAGTTTTCGACACGAAGCACCGTCCATCGACGGAAAAGCGTCGATCTCAGGCAAACAAGCTCGCATCGCAACTCAAAATTCCCTCCTTACATACCATGACCGAACAAAATCTACGTCACCAAGAATCGACCGTACGGTCTCGGAACTTGCGAAGTCCCCGGCTCTCAACGAGATCGTTGACCCCTGATATAGATGTTGACAAGCCCCTACCACCCACACCAGAGCCGCCTCATGCGCCCAGCACAAAAGATCTAGTTCTCGAATGTCTGGGGCGCCTTCCACCAGCACCAGAACAAATCCCAACACGGGAACTGATTGACGAGTGTCTCGTGCGCACGCCGTCAGAATACCTCAGACCCATTACTCCAACAGATAATACCGACTTCCAGCGTTCAGTCAAAACACCGAGACGCACATCAAATCCACCGCGATCATTTTCGCCCATATCGTCGAACTACACATCTGTCTCTCGACCATCCTCACCGTTAGACTTGATACCGCCCTCGCTCCGCCCCGGCACACCCCTGCCATTTACGCATCCAACACGCAATCTAACCTTCGCCCCTCTACCGAAGTCACACCTCCCAAAAAAGAAGCCCTTTCTTCTAGACAACACACTGCGTGCATCATCTCCATCACCACCTTCCAGATTATACACCCCCACATCCCGCGACACCTCTTCGCCCTCTCCATCACCCTCGCCCTCTCCACCACCCCTCCTTCAACGCCCCTACCATATATCCCCCTCCTCCCCATCCCTCCCGCACTTCGCTCCACTGATAAAACGCAAACCCGCACCACCACGAGGCGTAGATTGGCTGGAGCAATGGGACCGGCTTTTCGAACTACAAGGAACACAAGGGTTTGGGTTGAGGCGGGCAGAGAAGAAAGAAAGGAAAAGTCGGTTCATGGAGATATTGGAGAGTGTGGGGAGTGTGGGGAGTGTGAAGGTGGATGGGAAACTACGTTGAGCGGGCGTGGGAATGAGTGTTTGGGTTGTAGTAGTTGTAGTATGAAGCTGTGAGGAGGGGACGTGGAAATTGAGTTTTTGCTACCGGGATGTGTGTCAAAATGATCATGTATGACTGAGTAGCTATTAGGGAGGGGTCGTCGAGGTGTAGTACAGCTTTCTACTAGTATAAAAAGTATGTCAGCACAAGAGCCAATAGAATATATCCTTAACTACCTAGGGGAGTTTAGGTCATGCCTCGCGACGCAGCACGAGGTTCACCCGGCGAGATAGCCCTCCTCATAGAAACCAGGCAACAATAACCGCATCACCATCGTACGTGGGGCTATTGTAGTTACCTGATTTCTATGAGGAGAGCTACCTCGCTTACCAAAACATCCACATGGTAGCTATCTGATTACCTAAGCTTTACCCAAGCCCTTCCCTTCATCATCGCTTTCCCGCTCAACAGTCGCCTCCACATGCTCCGTCATGAGATGTTTGATACCCTTCATCGAAAGCACAGCAATGGTCGCGAGCGCAACGAACGGCACTACGCTCCAGTAACCCAGTCTATACGCACGCGCGTAAGACCAATGGCTCGCATCCCACGCAGCAGTGATGATAGTCTCGTTCGCACCGGGTATACCCGCGCCTCTGAACTTAGAAGCCGAGCTACCCTTCATGCCCTTAAGAAGCGCAGGCACAGAGGACTCAGGGAGGCCGGCAGCGATGGCGGCAGAGCTGACGTCGCCGGCGAGGTGAGATGCGATGCGCGAGTTTACAATGGCGTAGATGACGGCGGTGCCGAAAGCGCCGCCGATGGCTCGGGCGGAGAAGGCGAGGCCGGTGGCTGTGGAGAGGAAGGCGTGGGGGGCGGTGAATTGGATGCATGCGACTAGGAGTGTGAGGGGGCCAGCGCACCCGATACCTGTTAGAGCGGTGAAGATGATTTGTTCGGTGGCCCAGCCGGGGCGGATGAATGCGAAGCAGATTGAGGCGATGAACATTATGGCGAAGGTAGCTGCTAGCGGTGTTTCTGTTTATGGTGTTAGTGGAAGGTGTGAAGAAGAATGCCATGTTGCTTACTCATGTCTTTGAACTTTGTTGCGTACCATGTTACAGCCAAAGATGTGAAGATAGATGCGATCTTGTAAGACAGTTGACGGATAGCAATATCCCATGCATTGTCTTCGAACCCGACGTTCAGGATGAGCTGAGGTGTAACGGCGTTGATGGCGGAGTAGTAAATCCATCCCTCGATAGCAAAGGCAAAAGTCGACAGCCAGAAGTTGGGTCCAGTGGAGAAGAAGACGTGTGCGACGATGCCATCAGACCGGCCCTTCCATTCTGTACCATGTCAGCTTTTGACTCAAACTTAAGGTACCTAAGGGTAGTTTACCATAGAGACAAAAGGCGATGAAGAGAACAATGCCAACAACTAGGTTGGCGCATACATGCGGGTTGCTCCACGGGTACGCGCCTCCTGCCCAGTTGAGCGCCAAAAGCATCAAGGTAGCAGCAGCAACGAGAAGAAGGGAGCCAACGGGGTCGCAAGCCCACATCCACTCTTTGTAGCCCATACGTGGATAGTCGGTGCGTTTCTTTGGCCAGTAGAACGCGAATAGACCAAGCGATGTGATGCCGTGTAGTCCGACTTGGATCCAGAAGATGTAGCGCCAGCCGGAAGCACTCAGGTTGGTCACCGCACCGGCTGCTAGACTACCGACACTTCGCAGAGTCAGTACGTGTCAAATGCATCTACTCACTGGAGGTGTCTACTTACGTTCCGCCCAACACACCGGCAACGCCCGCAAGTCCGTTCGCTAGAGGTCGATACTTCAAAGGCAGAATCTCGGACGGGATAGACTGAACAATTGAAATGGTCGCAAGTGTCGTGCCAATGAGGATACCGCCTCCAATCAACATAGACATACTCGTAGCCTTGGCGCAGATGATGGAACCAATGCATGCGATCAGTGGAGGTATGGTAGCGAACAGCTTGCGATCCAAGACATCAGACAGGCGGCCGACGGGAGGGGAAAGGACTGATTGCATGAGGAGAGGGCCCTGTATAGTGTCAAAATTTGAGGTCAAAATCCAATGCCTGGGACAATGTACCTGGATGATCCAACTTGCGATGGCAGGTTCTCCAAGCTCGCGGATGATGAACGACAGGACTGATCCTGCAGCCACTACTACGAAGACCTGAGACATGACGCTACGCTGTAAGTCAGCAAAGTCATGAACAGGGTTGCGCGCAACTCACGCGAAGCAACAGCAGAAGACGACCATCCAAGACCTCCACGATAGCTTGACATGATGGACGTCCTCATTGGCTTCCTGGTCGATAGGCACGATGTGGGCGTCGCGACCGTGAGCGGTTTCGATATGGGTAGCTCCCGTTTTGCTATCCATAGCTGTCTACAAGACACGAGAAGCTGGATCGATGAAGAAGATGAGATGGGCGAGGCCTGCATCTCATATCACTACACATATACTACAGTGGGGCATCATGCCGTGAGCTCTTGGCCGGGGCATTCTGACAACGGGATGAGCGGTAGCGGGAATGAGCGACAACGCCATGCATATCGGCAGATTTGGATGCTGGGGCTGAGGTCCTCTCAAGAGGCGTTTGGATGATGTTTACCGAATCATCGGGAGGAGATGATGCGGGGCCCCATATTGGGTGAAGATTGGCGCTCCTTCGCTGCAACGTGATGCGGGGAGGCGCGCCCACGAGTCGGGAGCTGCGCGCCTTACCCCGAGACGCCTCCTCCTCTTTCCTTTTCACGCCATGGGTGAGGTTCTATCGCGACATGTTGCTGCTCTATGATGAGGGCTGGTGAGGAGCGAGGAGGTGATGGTGATGAAAGAGGAGGGGTCAACCGGAGTTAAGCAGGCTCGCCCCGCTGGACCCTGAGACTTTTGTTGTCTTTGCGCAGGCTTCACGCTCCCACCAACCAACATCCCACCGCCAGCCTCTTAGCCAACGCCTATACGACGCATAGTAGCCTTTTAGCTGCCCTCAGCACTGACTCCCCCGCCAGGCGATGCTATGAGCAGCCCACCGCCTCTCGCAGGCCATCTGGTCCCCCTCCGCACCAAGGACGAGGTGCGCGCCAGCCTGGAGACGCACACCGTCTATGTCGTCGAGGTGCCGGCCAAGTTTGCCAACGTTATCAAGGAGTGAGGCCTTCACTCTTGGGGCACCAGCTTGATCTCTGCTAACGTCGCCCGTTCCCAGTGCCGTGCAAGCAGCATTGCCCGACTTCAAGACGTCGGAGATCTCTCACCTGCGCCGCGTAGTGCAGTTCAAGTACCTGCCGCCGCACCTGCAGAAACAATTCTATCCGCCTGCAAGGCTCCCCAGGGGTAACGAAGATGCTCCTGCCTCAGAACTACCATCTTCCCCACTAACACCGGCGACCCCCGCTTTCCCTTCCGCGTCCCCGTCCTCAGTCGATGCTGGCAGTGAGGCTGCTCATGGAGAGGCTGATGCTAAAGATTTTGATTTAGTCCGCTACTTCCTGCTGTGTCCCACGCGCCATATGCCCCACGCCAACCTTGCGGCTCTGATACGGACCTGCCCGCCCTTCGACGGCCCCAAGACTGCGCTCCCTCGGATCCTCTACGTAACCGTGCCGGCCCTGGCGCCCATATCCCAGCAGCAGGCTGACGACTGGAGCGACAAGTACTGGCCCATCTCGTACAAGAACACCAACCCCTACGGCCCCCATCCGAGCCTCGTACAACGCAACCAGGAGGAACTACAACCCGAGGCAGGGAATTGGCTGGCTCTCGCACGAGCGGCCGGCCAGCAGATATCGGATCAGTGCCTGGGTGAGAAGATCGGCGTCGTCGTGGTTGACCGCACCAGGAACCAGCCAGAGATTGTCGCGGTTGCAGGCGACTGCCGCTGGAGGTCTTTCACCGGCACCGCTGAGCCGCCCACCGGCACCGGCAATGTCATGGCTCACGCTGTCCACCGCGCCATTGCCATGGTTGCGAAGAAACGTCTTCGTGCTGCCGGGACCGACCCTGCACTCCTCGACCGCTCCCTCTTCTGCGACAACCCCCTCACCGGTCTCGAGAAGCTATACTACGAAAAGGACAACCTCTCGTCGAGCGGCTACCTGTGCGTAGATCTCGACATCTACCTCACCAACGAGCCCTGCGTCATGTGCTCCATGGCCATCCTACACTCGCGCTTCCGGCGCTGCATCTTCGGCAAGCGC